AAATATCACAACCTTGTATCAGATCAGGTAGCAATTCATATAAAAATTGTAATTCAAAAACGGAAACATTGGGAGGGCGATATATAACACCCACTACAACAGATAAACAGTTACATTTAAAATTAACAAACAAATGGTCAATATTATTATCAAAACTGCTAGTATTTATAAGACTGGGTTTTAACTTATTGTGTATATACAGCAAAACACCTCCACCTCTTTTTCCTCTATCTTTACGAAATATTGAGTAATTATTAATTTTATAAGAATCAGACTGTATATCATTTTTTAACCAAGTTTCAGAGATGGCTATTACCTCGAAAGGGTTATTATATACAAAATTTTCAATAGTAATATAACTAGTGCAATGGAAATTATTGATAATTTTTGGGAAATTTGCCTGAATGCATTTTTAGTTGAAAAAGAGCACCAGTGCCTTTTTCAGTTAAAAACGCATGAGTGCAAATTTGTCGAAAATTATAAATATATTTCCATTGCACGAGTTGTATTTAATGAGAGAATTTCATAAATCAAAAATTTAAATTTTTTGTCAAAAAATGTCAAAACACCAGTTTTCGCACCAGTTACTATGCAATTATCTGATAATTTGCACTAGTGCAAATTATCGCGTAATTACAATCTGATTGGTTCAAATCAACAATCAAAACATGTCAATTTATTGTTGGAATACCAGTTTTGACAGATGTATGAAATTCTCAATGTCATTAAATTTAATGCATATTGACCAAGGGTTAATGTGCACTATGCCAATTCCATCTTTTATTTTATTGTGGCCAATTATTAATGGTTTATCTGGGCAGGATCCTTCTGGGCCTCTGAAGGTATCCTCTTTTTCTGTAAAAAATGTGAAACTAACGCTCCATTGGGCCACACGTCCCTGCGCCAAGCTTTCCTAAAATTATTCTGATTAATTGTTACCTTCATGGATGTATATAAGTGCGGGTGCTTTGACTGGTGCACCTCGCACAACACCTCAGGAAATTCATCGACTAATATGCGCCTTAGGTCTTCTGGCCAGGTGGCAGGGCTTAGCCTTGATACATGTAGCACAGCAACCTTCGGTACTGTCGCCGATAGTACTCATTAAAATAAGAAAAAAGTTGATAGAAACGCAAGTGCTTAGTTTTCGAGATACAGGGTGACAAAGTTTGAAAAAATCCGTTCCCCGAATTTCTGTAAACTTGGCAGATTTGTTTGTAATATTAACAAAAGGTATCTTTTGATTCAATTGGATTTACCGTAGATTATTCCAGTGACGCCCCAGAGGACAACTACGTTGGTAAAAGTAGAAAAAAATGGCATGTCACTATTTTTTTATAACTGATATTTTTGCAGATTAAGTCATATTACATTTAAAATTCAAAAGATACCTTTTGTTATCACAAGCCAACCTGCCAAATATGAAAAAGAAAATTAGAAAGATTTTTGAGCTAAAAACCCGATTTAATTTCAAACTTTGACACCCTGTATCTTGAAAACTAAGCATTCGCGGACCCATGTTTCTATTTACTTTTTTCTTATTTTAATGAGTACTATGTATCCTCGAAGTTTGATCCCACTATTTATTACCACCCTGTATATATCTACAATTGACATATTATATTACCTACATAATTAACAAGTAGGTATTGCATAGTATTGACACTACTGATATAGTATTTACCTGGTATTGACATATATTAACCAGTGATTTGTACACCGAGTAACAGGGTGGAAAACCCCTCGGCAAAGGCAAAAGTCACATGGTTTGGATCACAGGTTTGGATTCCCTAATTGGTCCTTCGAACTTTGAAGCTTTCTAATGCATTAATAACCTAATTTTTGGTTATAAGTAAATGTGTGCCCTCCAGAGGAAATTGTAATTTTTGCTAAAATGGTCCATTCTGCAAGGGAAGGGCTCTTAAGGCTCCTTGACAGTCCAACATCCTTTAAAGGCCCGTCTATCCTGCAAAGTCCTGTCAAGTCTTGACTCTTGACCTCTTGACAGGTCCTGCGTCTCGTCCTGCCCTGTTGTAGGTACTGCAAAATGAAATGAAGAAAAAAAGCACAAGAAAGCAAAAAAAAAAAAAAAACAATCTAAAACTAAGTACGTCTCCACCAAAGCAACATCCCATAATATTTTTTTCTGCGTGAAGCACCTAATGAAGTATAGATTTATATTCTTTCTCCCCTATTGATACTCTTTAGTGGGAATGAGATGAATGAAACAAAAAATGTATTGCGTTCTTAATTCAAACGTAAATTTTTAACAGTTGAAGTTGTATTAAATTTCTTTTTTGCTTTCGAGCTCTTTTTGGAATAGATAGACCTATCATCACAAGCAAATCAGGGGCATCAATTAGCAAGTTAATAATTTTATAGAACAGTGTGAGATCCAGTTAGATGCGTCTTTAGTTCAGGGATAGTATATTAATGAAAGATTCTATATCACTATAGACTACATCTTTCCACTGAACACCCTGTTTGAAAGCCACAAGGCGAAGGAATTTCCTGTAATACTCTCTCAATGTCTGTCTGTTATATATCCATTATGTGAAGCCCATATGGGGGTACATATCCAAGAACTGATCGGACAATGGAATGAAATGGAATCTAGGTACATACTTAAAACCAAGCTTAAAACACACATCATTAAGATCAAGGGTTACTTGGGACAATTTTGACATTCAAGCTTGGATAACTTTGATGAATTTAGGAAAATCATTTCTAAATTATGTTCAAATATTGAGTCAGTTTATATTCCAATAAAAATAAACATAATTTATAGTGAAAAAAATACGAAGCCAAAGAAAAATAAATTAATAAGTGAAAGTGGCTGTCCCAAGTTACAGGGAAGTTGGGTTAAATTGGGATATCTCGAAATTTTCGTTAATTCTTTAGTTAGGAGCTTCCTAGAACAACATGGGACAATAGGAAACAAAATAAAAAAGTTTTAGCTGTGTAAAACTTTTTAAAAAAGAAGAAAACCAAAGTTTCAAGTAAAAAGGTGAACATTTATTCTTTATAAATAATATATAACTGGTAACTAACAATATTTTCACGCATAAAGAAATCAAATTTTCAGCGAACTTTCGCTTAGAGAGGAGCGAACATTACCGTAAATTACGGTAATAGTGCGAACGTTCGCTCGGTAAAGTTCGCTTGTTACAACACTATTTAGAAGCATACCTGGAAAATTTCAAAACATAACCTCCTGGCCAACAAAGTTTTGCGACCTATTTTTTTTAAATAAAAAATCATGAAATGATGAAAATATATAAATTACCTACTTTTGAGTCAATTTAATGGAAATTTGATAAATATCTATTTTAAACACGTAAAGTTGATAAACACGAACAAAAACGAACATTTTGAACACCCCGCTATGGCAACTGTCAAAAATTTCCACCGTTGCCAAGTGTCCCAAGTAACAAGTAACCCCGTTTGACGGTACTTTTACAGTAAGAGGAGAGTAAGCCATTCCAAGTATGCACTGAAGCCGATCCTGTATCTAGAAAGTTAATATTTAAATCTCCTGTTAATATTATTAGGGCATTCAAAGGTTGGCTTGTTAAAAGATTTTCCAATCTGGCAAAAAACGCATTGACATTGCTTGAAGGAGGTCTATAGATACACAAAACATAAAACAAAGGTCGCAAACAACACACAATTGAGAATTCGAATTCCTATCAATTATTAAACTATTATATCTATCTACATTAATTATTTTAAATACTTCAAACAATCTCTGCTGTACCATTATGTGTGTTCCACCATGCACTGCATCTGACCTACAATATTTAGAAATTAAACTATATACTGATGCAAAAATATCGGCTCACCATCCCTTAACCAGTGCTCAGTAAGAAGATATCAATGCCTGGGTAATCTAAATCAGCTAACAACAATTCTACTTCTGAAACTTTGCTTCTCAAAAATCTCAAAGATTGTATATTTAACAACACTAGGTCAAGTTTCTTACCACTTGACCCCTGTCTAAAAAAAGGTGTATTAACTAGTGCATTGAGACTTTTTGTTTGAACTTCAATATTATCCAAGTCTGCGTGCATACAATTACTGACATTACTATCTAAACTTTGGACATAAAAAGGAGAGGCACTACATTCAACGGTAATCGGAACCGATTTCAAAACTATTTTTCTACCAAGAACTGCACTAGTTTCAACATACAAAGCAAGCAGTTTGCTCAGCGACCGAAATGTGTGTCTGTATCTAAAATTTGCACATGTATTTGAAATTAGTCTAATACTACAATTATTTTTTTGAACATATTCTGATACAAACCCACTCAATTTATGAAATCTCCTCTGGACTATGTTGAATTATTGGTTGAATTCGGTTGTATGCTCATAAAACCAATATCAACCGATATCAACACCACCCAACATTATTGTTCTATTGGAAGACAGTTTGTTGACCAAAGTTGTTCAACAACCCATTTTTATAATATGTCCAACAGAGTTGAGCAAAAAAGTTGAAATGTTGATCTGTGTTGCTTTGGTGGAGACAAAGCTCTAAAAACGCCTTTTATTTTACAAGGCAACACAAATTCTCGAGAAAACTATTCATTTTTGACCCCTAAACAAGAAAATTGGTTCTTTTCCTCCCTGGTAACAAAAATTTTCTTTCCTCTATAAATTGAAAAGCCCAATCATCATTCGGAATATCAAGGTTTTCCGCGAAGTCTTCCAATGAATAATTCTCAGAAAAATTACTTTTGGTATTTAGATTGCAGTCTACCGCACGTGGAAAGTAGCACTTTACCACACACTATTTGCTGCTCTTTTATGCCTTTGAACCCATTATTATATTATTGCCTAGGAAATTCTTTAAAATTTGTTTTATAAATTAAAAAGGTCCTCACCTTTCACATTTTTGTATATTAATTCAGTATAAGTGTTTTTGGAATAAAATAAACAATTATCTATTATTGCATGTGACCATCAAAATGAGTTCTTAATTACTATTTTTCATTCTAGGATGGGGGAGGTAGATTATCAAATGGCTCTCCTCCTCCAATATAAACTAGAACAAGAACACAAACATAAAGAAAACACAGACTCAGATCACAAACTAGCTTTGGAGCTACAACAACAATTCACAGCTGAGGTCGAGGTGGAAAGACCTGCAAATAATTTGGTTTATAAAGCTCCTAAAAGAGCTGATAGCTCCAAGTGCCTTACAGACCCTTCCTGGGAAATTATAGATCCTACACCGGATGTTCATGTGCTTTTCGAAGCATTTAATCAGCGTTTTTTTTGGAACAATTTGAATTCTGTCACTGTAGCATGGAGTAAAAAGATGACTACTTGTGCTGGCATTTGTTGTTATCAAGGAAGAGGAGGTATGTGCTCTATTACTCTGAGCGAACCACTTTTAAAACTAAGACCGAGAAAAGATCTTGTGGAAACTTTACTGCATGAAATGATACACGCCCTTCTGTTTGTCACCAATAATAACAGAGACAGAGATGGGCACGGCCCCGAATTTCACAAGCATATGTATAGAATAAACAAAGAGGCTGGTACAAATATCACCGTTTATCATGATTTTCATGACGAGGTTAAGTTTTACCAGCAACACTGGTGGAGATGTGATGGGCCTTGCCAAAACCGCAAACCATATTTCGGTATGGTTAGGAGGGCCACTAATAGAGCACCTGGGGCTTACGATAGATGGTGGGATGAGCACTTGAGGAACTGTGGCGGTACATTTGTCAAGGTAAAAACAATAATTGTGTAATATTTATTTAAAAGCTACATTTGCATGTTCCGCCGATTGCATTTTACTAATGGCGACCTTGTCGTCACTGTGGGAAAAATTGAATTTAAATATAATTATTTTCTATTTACTTAATGAAAGATCCTTTATTAATGCTTAGATCAGGCAGGCAAATTAAACTTAAGCAAAATGTAAATGTAGCTTCATTCCAAGGAATCTGTTTTCTTTGCAATGGAACTTTTACTCTCTTTACCCACTCTTTTTGTCTGTTAAAATGTTTCCCTTTTTTGACTGATTCCAAACAACTAAAACATATTTTAGTCTTCTCACCATCCCAGACTAAACCCAGTTCCTCAATTCTTAAAAAGTTGCATTAAAATATTTACATTTTGAGGAATAAATAGGTACTCTTTGTTTGGTTTTGCATGGGAATTGGAAATTCACACTGCAATAATATTAAAAGCAAATTGCATAAAAATATTTCTTTTGTTGTAGGATGTACCCAATTCTTTAAAACACTGGTTCAAAACAACTTTTAGTTTGTACAATAGAAGGCCTGGCATGTCATATAATTTCTATGCATGAGAAATTATATTTTTAAGTATTATTATTTTTATATGCACTTTTTTGGAATTGGTTGCACTGATGGAAATACGTTAGACCTGTTTAGTTTACGGTATTCAATATAGTTTCGCATTTTTGTTTGATTTATTGTTTGTATTGAGTAGGTACCAGAACTTTATACATGTTACCCGATTTACATCATACAAATTAATTTAATTTCCACTAAAAGACATGTACGAGAAGTACATCCCACAATAAACACTAGAGAAAAAAAGGAAATCAAAAAATCATCCTTTACCTATCTATTTTCTAGGTCAAAAACCCAGAAGCTACCAGTGACGCGGAAAAATCTAACAAGAAAATAGTGAAACCTACAAAACCAACCAATCCTAAAGCGGATATAAGATCATATATTACAGCTTCATCTGGCAGCACAAATACCCAAACCAAACCCAGCGTATCTCAACCATCAAAACCAATTACCAGTACCCCACAAGTAAACAAACCTAGTACTAGTACCATAAAAAATCCTCTACCAAAGAACATCCAAACAATATCAAATAATGGTGCTAGTGCTCCACACGTTAGCAATGTAATTCCTTCTAAAACCAGCAACATTTTTGGTTTTACGAATCTATCTGGAAATAGTAGCACTCCAAAGAGACCCGCTGGTGGTACAGCTATTAAAAATCCAGGAAGCAGCACTTTTGTTGTGACTAATAAAGGACGCAAAACGTCTAGTACTGAAACTGAGCAACCAAGCACCAGTGAAATTAAACCTTTTAGTGGCCAAGGAAAAGTTTTAAGTTCCTCTTCGCAGGATAATACTAGAGATTATTCAGCTGTAAGAGATCACTGGTTGAAGAAATTTGATAAGAGTAACAGTCCTTCTAATAAACGTTCATCGACCAGTGACTATTGCAGCCCACCAAAGCTTCCAAGATTGTCCATTAATAATGACGTTGATAAAGTGGAATGTCCAGTTTGCTCTAAAAAATTTATTGAAGGAGAATTGAATGCTCATTTAGATATTTGTTTAATTTCCTCTAATAGTAATGAAAATAATTCAAAAGAATGTTTTGTTTGTGGCGAAAACATTAGTGATACAGATTACGAAAAACATGTCAGTGATTGTGCTGCGAAGAATTTTAGTAGCAACTTCGATGATGAAGAACAACCTAAAAATTGTCCAGTATGCAAAAAATCCTTAACTCCCAAGGAGTATGATATTCACGTTGAAAAATGTATGTTATCTATGTTTGAGAAATTTGACAAAATATCCGACTCGCCACAGTCAGAACCCACAACAAAAACGCCATGTTTGGCGTGTGGCAAAGACATTTTAAAAACGAATCTCGATGCTCATTTAGAAGAATGTATGGGAATGAGTAATGTTTTTGATACTTCTAAAGTTTTAATTGAAGAAGATGATGGGGAAAATGCTGTAAATCGTAGTTATCATTGTCCGTTTTGTTTGAAATTGATTTTAGAAGATAGTATGCAGGCTCATTTGGATCAATGTTTGAAGGCTGGTGACTTAAAATTTGAACTTTCTGATACAGACTAAATTAAATGTTTGTTTTTGTTTAATTAAACATTTCATATCTGTGTTTGAGCCTGGCTGTCTTTGATATATATATTTTTTTCTATATGTGCCTTTACTTTGTTTTTATTTAATATATTTTTCTCATTATAATATCATGTGTCTTTTTAACTATATTCCTATCCTCATGATGAGCTCATTCTGTACATTTGTTAGTTAATACACTTATTTTTCACTACGGGAATAATTCATATTTGAAGTGTGACAATAAGACCTAGATTTTTGTCACTATGTCTAAACAATGTATGGACCTATTTAAAAAATGAACATCACAGACTATCCAACTCGGTACGCGGCCTTTGTCTACAAAGCTCTTGCAGACCATAATTTATAAGCAGATTTATTTCGCCCCTGCCTTGTATCTTAATTTTAGAATCTGTTTCATGCAGAAGAAGTAGGTATTTCTCTAATTCATGCTCTCTCTTCGGTCAATACTAGAAGTTGACATGTGATTAATCTACTGATTCCCACATCCTCACTTACTCAAAAATCTATCCACTACAACAGTGAAAAAATGTTTAATCGCCCCAGTTATTTGAAAAATGGTCTGATTGCCCAAATACAGGTTTGTTATAGGTTGAAATAATTATCCCGCGCGCGAGCCTATAATGCGAATGCATTATATACCCCATTTTGCTGCGACAAAAGGGGTCTAGTCATTGGTCTAGGACAACTATGGCATTAGGCTCCCCCAGGGCTTCCCTGCCTTGAAGGTTGTTAAATCATGAACTGTTTTTTGGGAATTGATGCACATATTATGTAATTTCTCATGGAAAAGAAGAGAAAAGTTATAATCAGCAACTGGATCCGCGCAGTCATGTCCACCGTTTCCAGTCATTTGTGGACATCTCCAGAGCGAGAACCAGTTTGCAAGAGATGCTGTCCAATGTTCAAAGTAATAATGACAAAACTGGAAAAGCCATTAGGATAAAATGGACATAGAAAAGAAAAACCTGGAGTGTTAAATAAATGTATTATTATTATGCCTGAAAAAGACAAAAATTTATTATTATTAACATAAAATTGACAAAATCGTGGGTTGGGGAGTGGCAAATAACACAAATTTATTCTTTGCGACGTTTCGTAACTATATATTGTTACTTTTTCAAGCACTGAATAATTAGTGTTTCTGTGCACACATTAATAAACCATTTCCATGGGTAATCCAGGAAGTTTTAAACATTTTCACACACGCAAGCTAGAACTTTTGTTTTTTTTTTGTTTTTTTTTTTGGTACGTATTGCTATCACGTTTATCACGGAACCACACTGGGTGTGTAGCAATACGTACCAAAAAAAAAACAAAAAAACAAAAGTTCTAGCTTGCGTGTGTGAAAATGTTTAAAACTTCCTGGATTACCCATGGAAATGGTTTATTAATGTGTGCACAGAAACACTAATTATTCAGTGCTTGAAAAAGTAACAATATATAGTTACGAAACGTCGCAAAGAATAAATTTGTGTTATTTGCCACTCCCCAACCCACGATTTTGTCAATTTTATAATAATTATTGGGAGACGAATATAGAAAAAATAAGAAATTATTATTAACCACCCAAAGGGATCCATAAAGCCTCTGTAGGTCCATTTGTGCCATATCCAGAGCCAAAACTAACTTGCTTCCTGGTTTAATTTCGAAAAGGGATGCCTGGAAAACAACTTTATGTTAGTGAAAATTCAATGTAGAAATGTTAGAAATTACCTATTTTAGCTTCCAATGAGATCCTACCCTGAAACATAAAATATCCAACGGTGTCCAGGACATCCTACCACCCTAGAATATCCAATGGTGTCCAAGGCATCCTACCCTGAAAGGCATAAAATCTTAATAAACATATCATGAAAAGTATGAAAATCAAAACAACTCGGTTTAGGAATAGGAAAAAGAAATCTTGTTTTAGGGCTTACAATGTTCTGGAAAGACCTCTGGAAGCAACTCCAAGGGGCTCATGAGTCATGATGTTCAGGAAACTTCATCTAAAACACACAAAAGAAAAATTTATTCAACTTTTAATGTTCTGGAAACAACTTATGTCCAGGAAGCTGCCTGAAGTTAATGTTGTCTTCATCTGGAACACACAAATCAAAATTATCGAAGACAGCATTCAGCTGTTCTATGTCCCTTTGGGCTGGATCCACTATTGAAATTACAATGTACCAACACCCAACAGCATTCATAATTTAACCCCTTCTCCAAAGTATCAGTTTTGCCGCTGCTACACTTACCGTGATAGTACATGAGTGCAGCAAATGAGATCCAAGACAACTATGGCATTATAGGCTTCTCCGCAACGCAGCTGGTATCAAAAAGAAACGCTAAAAACACAAATGTTGGTATTGGTGAAATTCAACTTCAAATTTTTGTTTTTGAGTGAATGAAAAGTTTACAACCAAATGCTTAATTAATATATGTGGAAAATGTACTATTACCTTGCGTTTCTTTGTTTTGGGACTTTTACACACCTCAATTGAAATTTTCACCAGAATTAATTAACAGTCTATTTCACTTGATTAGGCTCAGAAAATTCTGGACTTTCTTGGGGGAAGCTCACCTAAAAAAAAAAAATGACACAATTTTTATGGATTTCAATGAACTCTTTTACATTTTGGGTGGTATGAATAAAAACGAAGTACTTGCTACTACTACAAGTATTAGTACATTCTTCGTAGTATCTACTTAAAAACGAAGTACCTAGGTACTACATTTCGAAACCAGCGAAAATAAGTAAATGCTTCTTTTTGAAGTAAATACTGCGTAGAATATACTAATACTTGTAGTAGTAGCAAGTACCTACTTCATTTTTATTCATACCACCCTTTATTTGTTTCTGGAAAACTACTGAAGTAAAAATTGTGAAACATCCAGGAGGAGAAGAGGAAAGTCAGGAGCTCATCATACTAAATTTGAAACTAATCATATCCAGTGAAAAATAACAAAATGGGAAATTAATGAGAATCAACTTGCAAAATTCAAAGTAAGCAAAAATGCACCCTCTTGCATTTCGATTTTTTTCTGAAAAACTCCTGAAGGGAAAATTATGAAACTTTCTGGAGAAAAAGAGGAAAGTTAGGAGCTAGGAGCACATTATAATGAAATTTCAAACTCCATCCAGTGAAAAACAACAAAATGGGAAATTAATAGAAATCAACTTGCAAAATCCAAATCAAACAGAATAAATACAACCTCTTGCATTTCAATTTTTTTCTGGAAAACCACTGAAGGAAAAAGTATGGAACTCTCAGGAGAAAATAAGCAAAGCTGGGAGCTTATCATATTAAAATTTCAAACTTATCCAGTGAAAAATAACAAAATGAGAAATTAATGGAAATCAACTTGCAAAATCCAAATTAAGCGAAAATGCACCCCCTTACATTTAATTTTTTTTCTGGAAAACTACTAGACGGAGAATTGTGAAACTTTCAGCAGAAAAAGAGGAAGGTTAGGAGCTCATCACATTAACATTTCAAACTTTTCCAGTGAAAAAATAACATCAAGGGAAATTAATGAAAATCAAGGCAAAAAGCACCTATTTTAATTTTTTTTTCTGGAAAACCACTAAAGGGAAAATTATGAAACTTCCAAGAGAAAAAGAGGAAGGTTATGAGCTCATCATACTGAAATTTCAAACTTTTCCAGTGAAAAATAACAAAATGGGAAGTAATGAAAATCAACTTGCAGAATTCAAATTAAGCAAAAATACACCCTCTTGCATTTTCTTTTTTTTTCTGGAAGACCACTGAAGGGAAAGTTATGAAACTTTCAAGAGAAAAAGAGGAAGGTTTTACCTAGGAGCTCATCAGGAAATTTATGAAACTTTCGGAAGAAAAAGAAGAAAGTTAGGAGCTCATCAAAACTTTCAAAATTACCCAGTGAAAAATAATAACAAAATGAGAAATTAATTATAATCAACTTGTAAAATCCAAATTAAACAAAAATGCACCCTCTTGCATTTTAATTATTTTTTTTTTCTGGAAAACCACTCACTGAAGGGAAAATTATGAAACTTTCAGGAGAAAAACAGGAAAGTTAGGAGCTTATTATACTAAAATTTCAAGCTTTTCCAGTGAAAAATAGCAAAATGGAAAATTAATAGAAATTAACAAAATGTAAATTAATCAAAAATGCATCCTCTGGCCTCTGGCATTTCAATTTTTTTCTGGAAAACTACTGAAAGTGAAATTATGAAACTTCCAAGAGAAAAAGAGTAAGGTTAGGAGCTCATCATAATAAAATTTTAAACTTTTCCAGTGAAAAATACCAAAATGGGAAATAAATGAAAATGAACTTGCAAAATCCCAATAAAGCAAAAATGCACCCTCTTGCATTTTGATTTTTTTCTGGAACACTACTGAAGGGAGAATCATGAAACTTTCAGGAGAAAAAGGGGAAAGTTAGGAGCTCATCATACTAAAATTTCAAACCTTTCCAGTGAAAGATAACAACATGGGAAATTAATGGAAATAACTTGCAAAATCCAAATCAAGCAAAAATGCACCATCTTGAGTCTTTGATTTTTATTCTGGAAAACTACTGAAGGGAAAATTATGAAACTTTCACTTTCCTGATAGTATTTTTTGTCTAAGCCCGATCCTAAACGAACCTAATATATTGGAATCGGTGCAACATTTTGGTGAGTTTAGCCGCACACGCGGAATATCGTTCAGCATCCTTCGGAGCTCCGTCTGTCTGCTCCCCAGAGTCTTTAGGCTATTCGCACACAGTAAGATTCAGAACAAGCATGCGCGCACAGCCGTTTACCCTAGAGCATTCGCGGTCGCTCAGTGCATGTGTGCTAATGTGTAAACGCACCTTTAAACGACACGCTGACTACGTCATCACTGGTATTTTGGTGTAGTGGGGGGCTTGATATTTGATCAACACAGACCTTTTGAGGATAGGCTATCCTGTGTAGTGTGTAATATCCTTGGATCGGGCTATTACCGGTAAGTTTGGTCTAATTTAAAATTTCAAATTTAACGTGAGTTTGGTAATGTGCTCCGAACAGTTGGAGTACTTCGATCAGTTGGAGTGTTCCGTACAGTTGGAATACTCCGAATAGTAAGGGAACTCCGGTCAGTTAATTCACTTCGAACAGCTGGAGTACTCCGGGCAGTTGGCGTACTCCGAAGAGTTGTGGAGCACTCTGAACCATTGTTATCGAATCGCCGTCTAGTAGAAAATAGATTTTCCTACAAGCGCGCGGAAAACACGAATTTCCAGCTTTTGACTTGGGAAATTATCTTTAAAAAAAAAAAAACAGACTTTAATTTTAATTTCGGCAAATCCATTCTTCCACTGAGGGCACTTATTTGTAAATAATAGAAATCGCTATTGCAACGTTGTCAGATTTTGCATCTGTTTTTCTGGTTGTCACATGGTCGGCACTTTGAGGTTATGTGATGGTGAGGTAAGATAAGAATTTGTGTTTCTATTCAAAAAAGTGTTAAATTTTTAACAAAAACTTGGAAAAAAACCTGGATATCATCATAATATTGTCTATATGTTAACGAGTGGTAAATCTAATTGAAAAAATGAAGAACAAATCGACCAGGCATAAGGATGTCAACACTTTTAAGGTGAGTATTTACAAAGTTTTTTAATGAATTCATTGAGAATTGAATAGCTTATATCAAAATTAAGCAAATAAAATAGATGTTTCTTTCTCTTTAGAAACAACTATTTCATCATGGGTTATTTCAATGCTGCTGATAGCCAATTTTATGTTTTAAAAATATAGGAACATATTGAAAATCTGATGATCTTTTAATTTGATCATTAAAGCCACTAAAGGGCTTTAGGCTTTCAACTAAACTATTTATCCATTTAATTTCTAATTGCCTAGTGTGAAATATAGAGTAAAACAGTGTCAATAGATAGTTTGTTAAGCTGGATTTATACAGCAAATAAAATAAAATTAGATAACATAATAGTTATTTATACACCAAGTGAGTTAAATGAATGTTTATTCATGAGAAGAAAGTTAAACCCGCGAGCCCTAGCGAGTGGGTTAGTTTTCTTCGAATGAATAAACATTTTAACTCACGTGATGTATACAAAATACAAAATTTTATTCCATTTTGTGGAGTTTAAAAAATAAAGTACAAGGAAAAATACCGGGAGTGAGTTAAAAATATTTTAAATCACTGAGGTTTCAGATTTTTAGTTGGGCAGAGTGACTTAAAATCCCGAGAGTGAGTTAAAATGTTTTTAAATCACTGAGGTGATAAAGGTCTACTTACCTTTATTGTTATGCGTTCAATAATGTCATTTTTAAACGTCAAAATGGGATAAAATAAAATAACAAATGCATAAACTAATGCATTTCTTATTTTATTTGTTATTTTCTGTATAAACACTTTAAGTGCCGGTACTTTTGCTGTCATTTGACAGCTGTTAAAAATAATCAGGGCTTTACCTCTTCGATTTGGTTGACATCATACAGTGTCCAATGAAAAACTTTGCAGACGATGGAAAACTGTACATTAATCCACTTATTGGTGCCCATTTACTTAAAACAGACCTAGAAAATATTGAAAGCTGGTCCAGAACATGGGGGATGAAGCTAAACGCATCAAAATGTACAGTGCTTCGAATTGGGCCAAACAATCCAAACACACAGTATACTCTTAATAACACGACCCTCACATCAGTGAAAGAACAGAATGATCTAGGAGTCATTATAACATCTGATCTGAAATGGGAGACACATATAAAGAAAATAACGAAAAAAGCAAACTCTTTTGTACTTATATCTCATAAAGCAAGCTTTTAGGGACCATTCAGTGGAAATGATAACGAAGCTGTACAAAAGTTACATAAGGCCAAAAGTTGAATATGCATTTACTGTGTGGAATCCCTATTATATAAAGGACATTGAACTCCTAGAAAGGGTTCAGAGAAGAGTTACAAAAATTCCTCTAGAACTTAGGTCCTTACCATATACAGAAAGGTTAGAAAGGCTCAATCTTACAACCCTTAGAGAGAGGAGACACAGGGGAGATCTAATAGAGACGTTTAAAATAACTAACGGCCACTATCAGTGCAATATTAAAAACCTTTTTCATCCAAGTCAAAATAACCAGCTTAGAGGCCATTCTAAAAAACTAGAGAAAGAAAAGACATCGAAAATGGTAAGAAGAAACTTCTTAGTGAATCGTGTTGTGTACTCCTGGAACGCTCTGCAGGAAGAAACAATTTCCGTCGTTTCTATCAATGCATTTAAGAACAAAGTGGACTCTGAATTGAAACAGGACTTTAATAGGATGGTTCATTATGGTGTATAAACAGAAACAAACTCTCATATCAAAAGACACAATAGCTTCATCGGTTTCACCGCCTGCTATTGGTTAATTATAGAATTATAGAATTAAATTATAGAATGTGCTCTAACCACATACTTATTGTTCGTCGATTTTTAACTGATACTTGCGGTATGAGGAGCGAGGGGGTGTTTCATATGGCAAAAACAGGTGTGACGTTAGGTAACCATTGGCGTTCTAATGTAGGGAGCCACCAGCTCACATTCCGTCCGAGTATCAGATTAAAATCGACGAACAATATAGACCTTGCCCCATGCAAAACTTTGACAACATATCAAATTCGTTAATCGAGAGCAAAAGTATCGGCCCTAAGTGTATCTCATGAGGTTAACTGTTATTTCTTATTTCTTATTTTATCTTATTTTATTTTATTTGCTGTATAAATCCAGCTTTAGTTATAATATTTATTACGTATTTCATTATTAGAGTTAGGGTTAATTTTCATGCATCCGTTTATCCGTCGATCTGTTGATCGGGAAGTATTCCTATTGGTCCAATATTTTGGCGCCAAAACATTGGACCAATAAGAATACTTCCAGATCAACAGATTGACGGATAAATGGATGCATGAAAAGTAAGCTTAAGAATCAAACGAGAAGAAGCCACTGTCGTTAGCGCTGACAAAGAACGCAGATTTCCTTTCCTCTGGGTCCCTCCTATTTAAAGTGAGACAAACGATAACGCGTGTGGCTTCTTCTCCTTTGATTTTTACTCTACACATTCTACTAACCAATAATCAATATGGGTCTACAATCTAGTCTATATCTTGTCTACTCTAGGTCTATTGAAGCTTTTTCATTTTTGAATTCCTCAAAGTTATTTATTTGCAGTGGCGGCTTGTCAGAAGTGAAATTGAAAATTCAATGTCAGTTTTTTATTCCTGATTCCTAATTAAAATAATAATTCACAAATTACACTTTCTAAATTTCGATATTTCAATGTAATTTAGAAAAATCTGACAACATTATTTCAATCAATCCCGCGCCTCCACAACAAAAATCTGTGAATCTGGGATACTCAGTAATACGAGCCCGGAGGGCCGGAGTTATACGCGAACCCGAAGGGCTAGAGTTATTTTAATCACGGGGCCCAGTCTATAATTCTATTGGTCAGCGTATAATTTGGAGCCAATCAAAAATCGGAAATATTCAATATGTGATTTATATACAGTGTGATTTTTTAAGTGTGCAACATATGGGGATTTTTTTTAGTAATAGCACAACGCAAATACAAACAAGGCCAAAAGTTGGTGCATGTCTGATAATCATATTAGGTGCACTTAGAATGGTTGCAAGTCCAACAGCATACAGGGTAGCTCAAACAATATCAAAGCTGGTACTGTAAAGTACCCTTATTTTAGAAAATTCAGGAAAATGTTATAGAGAAAAGTTATTTGGAATTAAAAGTTATGCCTAAATACCAAATCATGGCCTCCTAAGATTTTTTTTATTTTCCGCCCTTAAGACTTTCAAAAATTAATTAAAATCAAATCAATTTTACATAACTTTGTTCAAATTCAAGCCTATTTGTAAAATTAACTTAGATTTTTAATTTTTTATGGAATCACAAAATTCATGTTTGTTGCAATGATATTCAACACAACTTTAAAATGTCGCAATTTTTTTTTTTAACAAGTTGAAACATTACTAATGATAATAGCCATATTAAAAAAAACTCTCCTTAAAGTGCAAAAGTTTTATTTTATTAAAGTAAATATTAGTAGAATTTTGATATTTTTTGAGCCACCCTGTATGCTGTTTGACTTGCAACCATTCTAAGTGCCGGTACTTTAGCTCTCATTTGACAGCCGTTAAAAATAATCAGGGCTTAGAATGTGCTCTAACCACATCATACTTTTTAGACCTTGGCCCATGCAAAATTTTGACAACGTATCAAATTCGTTAATCGAGGGCAAAAGTATCGGCCCTCAGTGTACCTAATATGATTATCAGACATGCACCAACTTTTGGCCTTGTTTGTATTTTGATTGTGCTATTACTAAAAAAAAATCCCATATGTTGCACACTTAAGTAATGACACTGTATATATTTGATCTAATAAAACTGGAGAATGCCAGCAAACCAAGTGACCACATGATGGTCAGATTGGACTTAGAGATCCCCTTCGCAGTGGTAATAAACGACCGCCAATCATGGGAGAATAAAGAACTACCACAAGCAGACAATGCATCTCTGTGGTACACAGATGGATCCAAGCTAATGGAAGGAGCTGGACTGGGCATTTCCGGCCCTAACTTCAAGCTCTCCAGGGCATTGGGTAAACATCTTACAATATTTCAAGCCGAACTTGTTGCCATAGATATATGTGCACAAGAGGGTCTTAACCGGGGTCTTAACCAAAGCCTCAAAAAAAACACATCTTCATACTATCGGACAGCCAAGCTGCCTCAAAAGCCTTAAGGGCTTTCAAATGCACGTCAAAACTAGTCTGGGAGTGTAAACCTACCCTAAAAACACTAGCGACACATAGCCAGGTAACGCTGATGTGGCTGCCTGGTCATCGAGGCATAGAAGGAAACGAAGAGGAAGATGGCCTCGCAAAGGAAGGGGCCTCAACACCATACCATGGACCAGAGCCCTACTGTGGCTTAATGAAAAGCCACATCATGGAAGAACTCAACAAATGGGAGAAAGATCAACTGTCATCATATTGGAGGCACACACCGGGACTCAGACAGTCAAAAAGGTTTATTACCCTTTCAGCAAAAAGAGCTGAACAGCTCCTAAGCATGAGCAGACCAGACATCAGATTGGTGGTGGGACTGCTCACAGGACACTGCCCAGTAAAATACCATTTAAGGTTAATGGGCAGAGCGGAAGACGATCTCTGCAGATTCTTCTCAGAAGCAATAGAAACCGCGGAGCACCTGCTCTGCGAATGTCTAGCCCAATTTTGCAAGAGGCTCAAATTCCTCGAGGGGCAACACTGTCACCAGAAGAAGTGGGCCAACTGACACCCAGGAAAATAGCTTCCTTCGGCAGAAGTCTACGCTTCCTGGAGACAAATTAAGATGTAGAGTCACGCACAAAATATCTGCAAAGGTAGCAGTGCTGAGCGGCTGAAAAGCTGAAACGACTCCCCCGAAATCTACAATCTACAATACTGCCAAAATCACAAATATAATACGCACAGAAGGAAACGAAGAGGAAGATGGCCTCGCAAAGGAAGGGGCCTCAACTGTGGCTTAATGAAAAGCCACATCATGGAAGAACTCAACAAATGGGAGAAAGACCAAC